TCACTTGCGATGCATGCATCCCATATCAGAGTGCCTGGGATCAAGTTCCACTTCCACATGTGATCCAGCTTCCTGCTAATGCAACTGAGAAGCAGCAGATAATGGCCCAAGTCCTTTTGTCCCTGTCATCCATGTGGGAGACCCAGATGGAGTTCCTGGCTCCTGAATGAACCAGTGTATGGAAAATATCTCCATCCCCATCCCATCAATCATCTTTTCAAATTAAAAAAAAAAAGCATATTTGGCCATTCTGACAGTACAAACAGTGATAAAGATGTTAATATTACTTTATATAATGCTTATAATTATAAAATTTTCACATTTTTTGTTTTGTATCATTGGAAGTATATACTGTGTAAGAATTGCAAGTGTTTTCATTTAAGGATGAGGAAACTGAACTTGATTGATTTGTCTAAATCATATGGCTAAGTTTTGGGTCTTCAAGATTGGGACTTAGATGTACTTACATAGTCTTTGTTGAATTATCACAAAATCTTCATGTTAATCATAACAGTAATAATAGCAAAAGTATGTATTCAGTTTCTATTATCTCTTTGGCTCTATGACAAGCCCTTGGCTATGTATTGTTTCTCACAACAATCTTATAAGGTGAGATTTCTCTATCCTAGTTTTAGATGAAGAAACTCAGATTCATTGAAGTCAAATAATTTATTCCCTGTCCTATTTCTAATAAATTGAAATTTTTCTCTAGGTCTATGACTTGATGGGTTAAGCTCTTTTCTCTATGTCTCACCCTCATTTGTTCTTGGGATTTGAACAGATATTACTTTGAGCATATTTTACTTTAATCTTTAATGAATATTGGCTTATTTGATAAACATGTAAAGATTATTGTAAAATAGAACTCAGCTACTTCATAAAGATGCTTTGAAAACAGTTCTTACTGCTTCCACAAATGAACTGATGTGTAGATTTTCAGCAATTAGGCTGAAACATAGGAAAAAGAAAACCGATCTCCCCCTTCCACATGTTGATCACAGGCAGATTATGTAAGTTATCTGCATGATGTATTTCCTGAGGCCTGTGCTAGACAGCGTCCATATGTGTTTGCCATGTGATGAGATGGGATTTCGGGCTCCGCACCACTGAGAAAGCCATGGCTGCTTGGAATTTGGGCATAATGTCTTTATGGTTTTTCTGTGGGATCACTGAAGCACCAAGGTCTCTGCTGTTGTCCTTATGTAACTTTCAAGGCGGATAGTGCTGAATGTATGATTCTTCGAGCTTCAGAGTAAGGTCAGATTGTAAGTGGTGGGAGACAAATTGTGAATTGTTCTTTTATGTGGAACACAATCCAGAAGTCTGGACTTCAAGTTTGTCCTCATTTTAAAGGATTCATTAACCACAATGACTTACCTATATCTTAAAATAGCCCTTGGTCCTTGCCCCAGTGATTTCTCACATTGCCTCTGTGAGCATGAATGTCTTTGAAGATCACAGATTTGAGAGATAAACAGTATTTTGAGAAGTAAAATTTTTTATGAACATCTCCAGCCAGGTTCAAAGTTTTAAAAAGATGCTGCACTAACTCTGCCAGTTTGTGGAAGTGTTGTGTTAAAAGTGCAGATGGGCATTTATTACTGTTTTGTGTTAGCTAATTGGAAAACACCTAAATTGTCACCACTCACCCCCGCAGTTCAGGGTTGATTAAACAGCCCATGACGCTTTTCCCCTCATAGTCTGACTTAAGAATATCTATAATGATCTGCCCATTGGCTTGAGTTAATTATCCCCCAATTTTCTCTAGTGTTCCTCTCTACAAAAGTCTTAAAATATTTTACCATCTTGCACCATTCTTCCATTAAGGTTCACAATGGACACATACAACCAGGCATTTTTAAGCAGCTGTTTGGTTCTTTCAGAGGAATTAATAACTCATTACGTTACATGATGATAGAGGAAATGACAGTTTTTATCTTTTATTCAAGTAGCCTAAATTTACATGAAACCACAAGTTCCTGACAGATGTCCCCAGTTGTGTTGACCCAGTTGGGGCTTGAGGCAGGTCCTCCCACCAAATCCCAGGGCATTCTCTTTTCTTTATCCCTGCCTGAATCAAATTCAAGGTCTTCCACCTTTCCCATAAAAGAGTGAATTTTTAGAATAGAGATTTCAAGTCCTTTGGCAGATTTCTTATTAACTGTTCTTCTAATTCAGCTTCCTTCTCTTTATGCCAGTCAACAGCAATATTCTCTCTTGTTGGATGCCTTGAATGAGAGTGCCAATGAACTAGAGTAAAGGACAAATATTCACTGTCATAAGCACGTTTTGAGTGCCAGACCTTCTTATAAATAACTTACACATATGAGCTCATTTAATTATCACAACAACTTTATAAAGGGTGGACTATTTTTAATCATTTTACAGATGAGGAAACTGAGGAACACTGACTTGCAATTTTATATAAGACAAAGACAGGCTTTCTTCCCTCCCTGTCTCTTCTCCTTCCCTCCCTTTTTTCTTTCCAAGCCAAAAATGTTAATGGAGTACGTGGTGTGTACCAAGCAATCATTATTATGGGCACCAGAGATGTCAATTAATAAGGTAGACAGAGCCCCTGTCCTTGGGGAGCTTAACCGCTCTCCTATAGAATCCCTGGTACATATCTTCTTCAAGGAGCTTTCTCAGATTAATCACACGCAGTCTCTAAGGTACCTGGATAATCTCAACTAATCTTCTATTTCAATAAGCTTCAGTAATTAAAAAAATTCAGTTTCACAATTTAGCTAATGTGCCTGCTTCATACACTTTATATGGCAATAGGCCGTGTCTATCTTTATTATATATCTTAGGACCTTTGGTGCACAATCTTGCCTCCTGCATGTGGTCACAAAACTGAAAACTCGATGTAACTGCTGTTTCTTAGAATGTCTGTCCTGCACACAGAGAGATAGAGATATGAGTACTTGGAGACTTAATTGTACTTGCTTAAAAATAGATATTTAATTTTGTTTTACAGATAAAAGCCTGAAAAAAAGTTTAGTTTCTCTTTTGTCTTTAAAAAAAAGATTTATTTATTATTTGAAAGGAAGAGTTAGAGAGTTTCATCAGATGGGAGACCTCTCGCTCTCGCTCTCACTCTCTCTCCCTTCCATCTGATGATTCACTTCCCAGATGGCCACAATAGCTGGAGCTGTGCCAGTCCAAAGCCAGGAGCCAGGAGCTTCTTCCAGGTCTCCCATGTAGATTCAGGCGCCTAAGGACTTGGGCCATCTCCTATTGCTTTCCCAGGCCATAGCAGAGAGCTGGATCAGAAGAGGAGCAGCCAGGACTAGAACCAGCACCCATATGGAATGTGGTACTGCAGGTGGGGGTTTTACCCACTATGCCACAGTACCGGCCCCAATTTAATTTCTATTAAAAATTGTAATGAAGGCTGGCGCTGCGGCTCACTAGGCTAATCCTCCGCCTTGCGGTGCTGGCACACCAGGTTCTAGTCCTGGTCGGGGCGCTGGATTCTGTCCCGCTTGCCCCTCTTCCAGGCCAGCTCTCTGCTGTGGCCAGGGAGTACAGTGGAGGATGGCCCAAGTCCTTGGGCCCTACACCCCATGGGAGACCAGGATAAGTACCTGGCTCTTGCCATCGGATCAGCGCGCTGGCCGCGCCGGCCATTGGAGGGTGACCCCACGGCAAAGGAAGACCTTTCTCTATATCTCTCTCTCTCTCACACTGTCCACTCTGCCTGTCAAAAAAAAAAAAAATGTAATGAAGGCAGTCTAGGATTTCTCAATTGAAGTTTTCTATTTCTATTTCTATTTGAGGATTTAACCCCTGTAACCATTGATCATACTACTTGTTTTGCACATCAGGCTGATCTTTATTAAAACATTCACCCCTAAGGAAAATTTCTAGATATTTTAGCTGTAGTCAGTTAAACATGTTATCTCTTTCCTCTCCAACTTCCCCATGGTTGCACTTCTCCTTCTGTCAAGTGGTATAGAGGCAGCTATGGGTTTGTTTAAAATTTTGTAATCCGAATTAGAGAAAGTGCAACTGGGGAGTACACTTAGTTTGGATTTAATAGGCTATAGCTATGATATTTGGTCTCTTCCATGCTATCACTGGTTATTCTGATAAATTTTCCAAGAAAATTTCCATTGCCAACAGTGCTAAGTCACCTGGCAACATTACACAAAAGTTTGGGGCAGAGATTCTGTCTTAATATTGATGTGTTTGATTATCTCCAACACTGGAAGTATGTGGATTAATGAGGAGAAACAAAGTTTGAAAAATACACATAAACAAGTCTGTTCCAAATCATATGAGCTCATATGAGTTTAGGTCAGAAACTTGATATTTTCCCAATTGACAATAATCCGAACAATGTACATGACATTATATTCAACAGTAAAAACAAATTTTGATCAGTTACATTGGAAGAAAGGTCTATATCTTTCTGTTCTACACTAAAAAGTTATAAAATCATTGTCATAGAAGGGGGTTATAAAAGTGTATATAAGCAATAAAAATTAAGAATACATATATGGGGACGGCGCTATAGCATAGGGGGTAAAGCTGTCACCTGCAGTGCTGGTTCAAGTTCCAGCTGCTCCACTTCCAATCCAGCTCTCTGTTGTGGCCTGGGAAAGCAGCAGAAAATGGCCCAAGTCCTTGGGCCCCTGCACCCATGTGAGAGACCCGGAAGAAGCTCCTGGCTCCTGGCTTCAGATTGGTACAGCTCTAGCCATTGCAGCCAATTGGGGTGTGAACAAGCAGATGGAAGAACTCTCTCTCTCTCTATGCCTCTCCTTCTCTCTCTGTGTAACTCTGACTTTCAAATAAATAAATAAATAAATCTTTAAAAAATACATAATTATCTTAAATATATTTGATGCTATGGTATCCTAGGCACTAAAATAGGACATTTTTCACTGCTGCTTATATTAGGATAAATCACTAATTCTGTGATAGAGTCCCAACTTGGTGGCTTTCACATTCAATTTTTTATATATATATATATATATATATATAAACTTATTTTTAAAGGAATACAGATTTCAGAAGTACAACTTCAGGAATACAGTTATTATTATCATTCCCACCATAGGGGAATATAATTATTATTATTCCCACCATACTTGCCCTCCCACCCACACTCTCACCTCTCCTCCTCCTCCCTCTCCCCTTGCCAGTCCCATTCTCCATTAAGATTCATTTTCAATTAACTTTGTACACAGAAGACCAACTCTATACTAAGTAAAGATTTCAACAATTTGTATGCACACACACACACACACACACAAACCTGAGAACTAGTTTACAGTTAACTCTCATAATACACCTCATTAAGGACAGAGGCCTGCATGGGGAGTTCGTGCACAGTGACTCCTGTTGTTAATTTAACAGTTAACACTCTTATGTATGACGTCAGTGACCACCTGAGGCTCTTCTCATGAACTACCATGGCTATGGAAGCTTTTTGAGTCCACAAACTCAGTCAGTATTCAGACAAGGCCATAGGCAAAGTAGAAGTTCTTTCCTCCCTTTAGATAAAAGTACATCCTTCTTTGATGGCCACTTTTTTCCACTGGGGTCTCACTCACAGAGATCCTTCATGTAGAAATTATTTTGCCACAGTTTTTTGTCTTTTCATGCCTGAAATGCTTTCATGGGCTTTTCAGCTAAAGCAGGAAGGAAGCTTTAAGGGCTGATTCTGAGGTCAGAGTGTTACTTAAAGCGATTGTCATTTTATGAGTCTACTGTGTGGACTGCTTCCCATGTTGGAACACTCTCTCCTTTTTATTTCTATCTATTATTATTAACAGACACTTAATTCTATTTATATGATCACTTTGTCACTTAATCCTATCTATATGTTCACTACAACACTTAATATGATCATTTTAATAATAAAGATGGCATTTTTATCATGAAGCTTAATGGGATTTGGAGTCCCATGACAAGTTTTTAAATTATACCCTTAAAAGTAAGTACACAGGGGGCCGGCGCCGCGGCTCAGTAGGCTAATCCTCCGCCTTGCGGCGCCGGCACACCGGGTTCTAGTCCCGGTCGGGGCACCGGATTCTGTCCCGGTTGCCCCTCTTCCAGGCCAGCTCTCTGCTGTGGCCAGGGAGTGCAGTGGAGGATGGCCCAAGTGCTTGGACCCTGCACCCCATGGGAGACCAGGAGAAGCACCTGGCTCCTGCCTTTGGATAGGCGCAGTACACTGGCCGCGATGGCCATTGGAGGGTGAACCAACGGCAAAGGAAGACCTTTCTCTCTGTCTCTCTCATTGTCCACTCTGCCTGTCAAAAAAAAAAAAAAAAAAGGTAAGTACATAAGAATGTATGCAGAACTATATAGCTTTACAGTTACAAACTTCCTCCTCCCTCTCTTATTCCCACTCATTTTTTACTGACATCTATTTTCAATGGACTTTATACACATATGATTAACTCTTTTAACTAATAAGTTCAACAAATGATATGAAGAAAAAAAAGGGAAAACAAACAAAAAGAAACTGTTTCTTGGCAGTTAAGTGTGGCTCAAGTCATCCTTTCTCAAGTGTCAGTTTCACTTCAACTACAGATTTCATTTTAGGTGTTCTATTAGTTCTCATGGATCAGGGAGAACATATGATATTTGTCCCTTTGGAACTGGCTTATTTCACTAAGTATGATGTTTTCCATCCATTTTTTTTGCAAATAACTGGATTTCATTTTTTTTTACTGCTGTGTAGTATTCCATAGTGTATATAATCCATAATTTCTTTATCTAGTCTTCTGTTGATGGACACTTAGGTTGATTCCATGTCTTAACTATTGTGAATTGAGCTGCAATAAACATGGAGGTACAGATAACTCTTTCGTTTACTGATTTCATTTCCCTTGGGTAAATTTCAAGGAGTGGGATGGCTGGATCATATGGTAGGTCTATATTCAGATTTTTGAGTTATCTCCATACTGTCTTGCATATTGCCTTTACCAGTTTACATTCCCACCAACAGTGGTTAGGATACCTTTTTCCCAAAATCCTCTCCAACATTTGTTGTTTGTTGATTTTTGTATGAAAGTCATTCTAACTGGGGTTAGGTGAAACCTCATTGTGGTTTTGACTTGCATTTCCCTGACAGCTAGTGATCCTGAACATTTTTTCATGTTTCTATTGGCCATTTGGATTTCCTCCTCTGAAAAATGTGTATTTAAGTCCTTGGTCCATCTCTTAACTGGGTTGTTTGTTTTGTTGTTGTGCAGGTTCTTGATCTCTTTGTATATTTTGATTATTAATCCTTTATCAGTTGCACAGTTTGCAGATATTTTCTCCTATTCTGTCGATAGGCTCTTCACTTTCCTGAGTGTTTCTTTTGCCATACAGAAACTTTTGAATTTGATGTAATTCCATTTGTGAATTTTGGCTTTGATTGCATGTGCCTATGGGGTCTATTTTTTTTTTTTAAAGAAATCTGCCTGTGCCAATGTCTTGCCAATGTCTTGTTTTCTCAAATGTTCTCTAACAATTTGATGGTGTTGGATCATAGATTTAGATTTTTAATCCATTTTGAGTGGATTTTTGTGTAAGATGTAAGATAGGGGTCTTGCTTCATACTTCTGCATGTGGAAACCCAGTTTTCCCAGCACCATTTGTTGAAGAGACTGTCCTTGCTCCAAGAATTGGTTTTAGCTCCTCGATCAAATATAAGTTGGTTGTAGTTGCTTGGATTAATTTCTGGTGTTTCTATTCTGTTCTATTGGTCTGTGAATTTATTTTTATACCAATACCAGGCTGTTTTGATTATAACTGCACTGTAGTATGTCTTGAAATCTGGTATTGTGGTGTCTCCATCTTTGTTTCTGTTACATAAGATTGCTTTAGCTATTCGAGTGCTTTCGGAAGAATAGACATTTTGATGATATTGATTATTCCAATTCATGAACATGGAAGATTTTTCCATTTTTTCGTGTCATTCTATTTCTTTTTTTTAATGTTTTGTAGTTTTCATTGTAGATGAGAATTCTCATCAAAGATGTCATCAAGGAGATCTTTGACATCCTTGGTTAGATTTATTTCAAGGTATTTGATTTTTTTTGGCAACTATTGTGAATGGGACTAATCTTAGAAGTTCAGTCTCAGCCTTGGCATTTCTGTGTTACAAAGGCTGTTGTTTTTTGTGTGTTGACTTTATATCCTGCTACTATACCAAACTCTTCTATGAATTCCAATAGTTTCTTGGTGGAGTCTTTTGGATCCCCTGTATATGGAATCATGTCATCTGCATATAGGGATAGTTTGACTTCCTCTTTCCCAATTTGTATCCCTTTGATTTCTTTTTCTTGCCTAATGGCTCTGGCTAAAATTTCCATGACTATATTGAATAACAATGGTGAGAGTGGGCATCCTTGTCTGATGCCACATCTCAAGGGGAATGCTTCTAACTTTTCCCCATTCAATAGGATGCTGCCCATTTGTTTGTCATACATGGCCTTCTATACCCAATTTGCTTAGAGTTTTCATCATTAAAGGGTGTTGTATTTTATTAAATGCTTTCTCCACATCTGTTGTGATAATCATATGGTTTTAGTTCTGCAGTTTGTTAAAGTGATGTATCCCATTGATTGATTTGTAAATGTTGAACCATCCTTGCATACACCCACTTGGTATGGGTGGATAATATTTCTGATGTGTTCTTGGGTTTGATTGGCTAGAATTTTGTTGAGGATTTTTGCATCTATGTTCATCAGGGAAATTGGAATGTAATTCGCTTTGTCTGTTGCATCTTTTTCAAATTTAGGAATTAAGGTGATGCTGGGGGTGGGGTGCGGTGCTGTGGCTCGCTTGGTTAATTCTCTGCCTGCGGCACTGGCATCCCATATGGGTGCCAGATTCTAGTCCTGGTTGCTCCTCTTCCAGTCCAGCTCTCTGCTGTGGCCTGGGAAGGCAGTGAAGGATGGCCCAAGTGCTTGGGCCCCTTCACCCGCATGGGAGACCAGGAAGAAGCACCTGGCTCTTGGCTTCGGATTGGCACAGCACTGGCTGTAGCGGCCATCTGAGGAGTGAATCAATGGAAGGAAGACCTTTCTCTCTGTCTCTCTCTCTCACTGTCTAACTCTGTCAAATAAAAAAAAAAAAAGGTGATGCTGGCTTCATAGAAAGAATTTGGGAGGATTCCCTCCCTTTTGATTGGTTTGAATAACTTGAGAAGAATTAGAATTAGTTCTTCTTTAAATGTCTTGGAGAATTCCGCAGGGAAGCGATCCAGTCCTGGGCTTTTCTTTGTTGGGAGAGCCTTTATTACTGATTCAAATTCCATCTTGGTTACGGGTATGTTTAGGTTTTCTATATCTAGTTTTTTTTTTTTTTTTTTTTTTTTTAAGGTAGATTGTATGTGCCCAGGAATCTATCCATTTCTTCTAGGTTTCCCAGTTTTCGGCATACAGCTCTTTGTAGTAATTTCTGATGATTCTTTTTGTTTCTGTGATGTCTGTTGTTACATTTCCATTGTCATTTCTAATTTTATTGATTTGGGTCTTCTCTCTCCTTTTTTTGGTTTCTTGGGCCAATGGTATGTCAATTTTGTTTATTTTATCAAAAAAACAGCTTTTCATTTTGCTGATCTTTTGTATTGTTTTTTTGGATTCAGTTTTGTTGATTCCTTCTATAATTTTAATAATTTCTTTTCTCCTATTAGTTTAGGGTTTGGTTTGCTGTTGTTTTTCTAGATCCTTGAGATGCATTGAGAGCTCATTTATTTGGTGCCTTTTCAATTTGTTGATGTAGGCACCGATTGGTATAGACTTTCCTCTTTTTTTTTTTAATTTTTTTTTGACATGCAGAGTGGACAGTGAGAGAGAGAGAAAGAGAGAAAGGTCTTCCTTTGCCGTTGGTTCACCCTCCAATGGCTGCCACAGCTGCGCACCACGCTGATCTGATGGCAAGACCCAGCTACTTATCCTGGTCTCCCATGGGGTGCAGGGCCCAAGCACTTGGGCCATCCTCCACTGCACTCCCTGGCCACAGCAGAGAGCTGGCCTGGAAGAGGGGCAACCGGGACAGAATCCGGCACCCCTAGACTTTCCTCTTAACACCACTTTTGCTGTATCCCATAAATCTTGATATGTGTGTGGTCATCTTCATTTGTTTCCAGAAATTTTTTGATTTCTCTTTTGATTTCAGCTATGATCCACTGTTCATTCAGGAGCATATTGTTCAGTCTCCATGCATCTGCATATGTTCTAGAGATTCCTGAGTTGCTGATTTCCAACTTCACTCTTTTGTGGTCTGAGAAGATACATGGTAGGATTTCGATTTTTTTTTTTTTAATTTGCTGAGTGTGGGGAGCAACTCGGACTAGACTGTTACTGGAATTAAGACTTATTCTATGCATCTGCTCTCCCACAATATGGCGCTGGGAGAGGAGTAAACAGCTTCTACACAGCTGCCTCCAGTTCAACCAATAAGCAGCAGGACCTGCTCCTGATTGGAGGAGAGCAGCGTACTCGGCGTGTGGGTAGCAGAGTTGGGATTGGTGGAAGAGGACTATAAAGGAGGAGAGAGACAACATGCACCAGGAACATCTATCTGAAGGAACACCTGTGCAGCCCCCGAGAGAGCCGGCCGGCGGTGTGCCGCTCCCCCGCGGAAGTGGGGAAAGTGGCAGGGGGAAGCGCCCTTCCACAGAGGTGGAAGGGTCGGTAGCCAACCCGGGAAGAACCAGCAGCAAACCCGGGGAGGGCTGAGCAGACAAAAGAACAGCGCAGGGTCCTGTGTCGTTCCTCCGCGAAGAGGGGGAGCGACAGCTGAGACTTGCTTTATGGCCTAATGTGTGGTCAATCCTAGAGAAAGTTCCATGCACTGGTGAGAATGTATATTTTGCAACTGTAGGGTGAAAAGTTCTGTAGATATATGTTAGGTCCATTTGATCTATAGTGTCAATTAAATCTGCTGTTTCCTTGCTGATTTTATGTCTGGTTGATCTGTCCATTGCTGAAAGTGTGGTATTGAAGTGCGCTATTATTTTGTATTGGAGTCTATGTCACCCTTTAGATCCTTTAACATTCCTTTTAAATAGCCAGGTGCTCTGTAATTAGGTGCATATACATTTATAATAGTAACATCTTCCTGTTAATTGATCCCTTAATCATTACATAGTGCCATTCCTTGTCTCTTTTAACAGTTTTTATGTTAAAGTCTATTTTGTCTGATATTAGGTTGGCTACATCAGCTCTTTTTTGGTTTATGTTGTCATGAAATATCTTTTTCCAACCTTTCACTTTCAGTCTATGTGCATTTTTGTTGGTGAAATGTGTTTCTTGTAAGCAGCAATAGATGGGTTTTGTATTTTAATCCATTCAGCCAGTCTGTGTCTTTTAATTGGAGAGTGGAGGCCATTTACATTCAAGTAACTATTGATAAGTAATGACTTTTCCCTGCCATTTTTTCAAAAATATTCCTATTTTTTACTTTGAATTTCTTTTGAACTTTTACTAGGAGATTTTCTTTCTTTACCTTCTTTTATACTGATGACCATGTTTCTGTGTTTCTGTGTACAGCGCATTCTTAAGCATTTTTTGTATGGCTGGTTGGGTGGTGATAAATTCTTTCATTTTCTGTTTGTTATAGAAGGTCTTTATTTCTGTTTCACCTAACTCATAAATGAGAACTTTGCAAGGTATAGTATTCTGGGTTGACAGTTTTTTTTTCTCTTAAGACTTAGAATGTATCTCACCATTCTCCTAGCATGTAGGGTTTCTGATGAGAAGTCTGCTATGAGTCTAATTGGAGATCCTCTGAAAATAATCTGGTGTTTTTTTTGTGCACATTTTAGAATCTTTATATTTTACTGTGGTGATTTGATTACAATGTTTCATATTGAAAACCTTTCTGGTCATGTCTATTAAGAGTTCTATATGCTTTCTGTACATGGATGTCCTTTTCTTTCTCCAAATTAGGGAAGTTTTCTGTTATTTTTTCACTAAAAAGGCCTTCTAATCCTTTGTCTCTTTCCATGCCTTCAGGAACTCCTAGAACTCATCTGTTGAGTTGTTTGATAGTTGCCCTAGATTCTCAAAAGTATTTTTTAGTTTTCTTATTTACTCTTCTTATTTCTGGTTTGACTGTATAATTTCCTGTGCTTTGTCTTCTAAGTCGGGTCTTCTTTCTTTTGTTTCTCTAATTCTTTTGTTAAGGCTTTGCACTGCATTTTATATTTGTTCTATTCAATTTCTGTTTCATTTTGAGTTCTCTTTAAGATCTCAGTTTCATGGGAGAAATTTTGTTTCATGTCCTGTACAGATTTCAGTAGTTTATGCATTTGCTTCTGATTACTTCTATGTAATCTTCTGATTAATTTTTTGAATTTCATTTCTTGCATTTCTTCCATCTCATCATCTTCACAATCTATTATTGGAGTTTTGTATTCTTTTTTTGGGTTATATTGTCTTCCTTATTCTTGTTTCTTGAATTGGTTCATATGTTGTTTGGCATTTGTGGAGATACTCATTGGTTTCTTTGTTTTTTTTTTTTTTTTTTTGTTGTTGTTGTTGTTGTAGTTGTAGCAGCTTTTATCTTTGTACTATACCTCTGTAGATAAGTGGAGTGTTTGCTTTCAGTGAATATCTAGGGGCTTGTAGTGGGTGTGGCCAGGGAGCTCTGTTCAGTTCTCTAGGGTAAAGGGTGTGACTAAGGTGACACATCCAGGTTTGGGGTAGTAAATGTCCTCTATTTTTTTTTTTTTTATCAGAAAGGAAGTTTATTCTGCTCAGCTGAGCTCCTCTCCTCAAGGGAGACTAGTGCCTGAGCAGTAGCCCCAGTGGGTATAATATTCATCCACACAAAGGATCTGTGCAGGCCTCAGTATAATCTCAGATGTCCCAGCAATGTCGCTTACCAGGTAACCAGGAAGCCCTGAGCATGTGGAGTCTCCCACAGTGACTGCTCGTGTAGGTCCACATGTCCTTCTAATTTGCATAGTTTCCTCTGCTGTTTTCTCCCTAACTCTTCCCTGAGACTGCACTCTTTCCACTTTTTAAAAACTATCTTCTCCTAGAGCAGTATGTTCCCTCCTTACTCCACCATCTTTGAACTCCACCCTCAATTACTTTTTAAAAAAAATATGAATTAATCATTTAATCCATTCAAAAGGCAGAGGGACAGAAAAAGAGAGAGAGAGAGATCTTCCATTCATTGGTTCACTTCCCAAATTCCATGTATCAGGCAGGGCTGGGCCAGGTTGAAGCCAGGATCTAGGAACTGCATCTGGATTTCCCATGGAGTGGAAGCTGTCGGGGCCCAACTACTTGAACTATCACCTGCTGCTTTCCCAGGCACATTAGCAGAAAGCTTGATTAGAAGCAAAACAGCCAGGACTCAAACTTTCACTCTGATATGGGTTACTGTTGTCACAAAAGGTGACTAAACACTCTGAGGAATGATGCCAACCTCTCAAGTTATTTTTTGCTCATATCACAGGCCAATGCTATTCTATGTTGTCATTCAGGATCCTTCTCCTTCATCTGGTGCTCTCCACTTGTTCCTCCACATCTGGGCAGCCAGTGGGATCAGGGAAAGAGCAGAGCAGAGAGCAGATTGTAGCCACAGAGACATAGAGATCAGGCATGAAAGCAGTATGCATCATTTCCCCGCACAATCCACTGGCCATAGTGCAGTAATATTGGCTCACTTAAGGAGGCTGAGAAATTTCTAGTATGTCTACTCTCCTAGGTGAATAATAGCAGTCTCTGCCATGGACAGCAATAGCTATGTAAAAAAGAAAATTTTCTGGAGATAAGAATGTCACAATTCTGAAATCTGTGAGCAATTAATCGGGGTTGCCATTGTGCCTTGATGAATGGCAAGGGATTTGGAATCAGAATGCTTACATTTACATTTGTCCTGGCTCATCAATTATTAGTTATGTGATCCTGCCTAGTACACACTGTAAGCAGCAGTTTCCTTCAGTGTAAAATAGGGATATTAATAATATCTGTTTCACTTATGTTTAGATTGTTTTCAGGGTCAAAGAGTAGATTATTTTCAGGATTAAATGAAAGTAAAGAAAGAGTTTATTATACTCAGGGGGATGCTGCACAAATATAAGTGTCCCTCTGCCTTGGTCTTGTTCCCATTCTTTTGGCCAGGATGATGTGTCGCCTAGACCTAGCTATCAGACCAATAGAAATGTAATTGCCTCCATTACTAGAAGACTGGACATCACTTTCAGTCTTCCCTTAAGGATTGAATACTTATGGTTTTTTTTTTAATTTTTTAATTTTTTTATATTTTGACAGGCAGAGTGGACAGTGAGAGAGAGAGACAGAGAGAAAGGTCTTCCTTTGCCGTTGGTTCACCCTCCAATGGCCGGCGCGGCCGGCGCGCTGCGGTCGGTGCACCGCGCTGATCCGATGGCAGGAGCCAGGAGCCAGGTGCTTTTCCTGGTCTCCCATGGGGTGCAGGGCCCAAGCACCTGGGCCATCCTCCACTGCACTCCCTGGCCACAGCAGAGAGCTGGCCTGGAAGAGGGGCAACTGGGACAGAATCCGGCGCCCCGACCGGGACTAGAACCCGGTGTGCCGGCGCCGCTAGGCGGAGGATTAGCCTAGTGAGCCGCGGCGCCGGCCATTCCCTAGGTTTTGGGGGGAAAATCAGATGGAAGGTATCCCCTTCAAACCAGAGTTGTGGTACAGCAGGTAAAGCCCTAGCTTGTGGTACCAGCATCCCATACTGGAATGCCAATTCAAGTCCCAGTTGCTCCACTTCCATTCCAGTTCTCTTCTAAAGTGCCTGGGAAAGCAGCAGAAAATAATCCAGGTACTTGGGCTCCTGCCACTCACATGGAGACCAGGAAGTTGTTTGGGTCTTCTGGCTTCTGTTTGGTGCAGTTCCACTTTTGGTGGCCATCTCAGGAATGAACTAGTGAATGGAAGATCTCTTTCTCTGTCTCTCCCTCTTATTGTCATTCTGCCTTTCAAATAAATAAAATAAATATTATTTTAAAAAGGCAGTCAGAAGGTTAAGGCAGAAGAGTCTGAAGCAGAATGCAACAGGCCTGTGCCCTTGGAGATGCCAGATAGGCCAAAAGTTCCCATCCCCCTGTGATGAGAATATAAGTGGCCTTTGTAGTTTACTATTTTTAACATGTAAAATTAATAACTATTGCAGTTGTGAATCATGCATTCTAACTTTCTTTTCTTATATCTAGATGTGAAATTACCCCCAAAGTCTTTGGAGTTATCCATGTGATGTTAAAAACCATCCTCCTGAGAACTGAGCAGGAAGGAGATGTTTCAGCCATGGATGTCATAGTGGCAGTTTCTAAGCATCAAAGAATGCTCCATTGGAAGCCAGTGGTGGTGGAACCTGATGGGCAGAGTGACATCACCTGACACTCCTCAGTAAGGCCCTCTGAGTTGTGTCAGTGTCTGTTGATTTGTTAGTATCTAGACCCAACCTTGGCATGATGTCAACTATGTGATGTCAGTACGTTTCAGAAACTTCCTCTCCCAACCTGGATCACCCTTAGGGATAAGGAGAAAGGAAAGGGAAGACAGCAACCTCAAATAATTGCTGGTTCCCTCCTAAGGAGGCTATAATAAACCAAAAGTAACTAAGTTTACTTTGATTGTAAGCTTAAGTTGACTAGCAGTCTGTGAACTAATTTAAAATCGTTTACATAGACTTAAAAGAAACGAGTTCCATTTTTCTCAAACATGTAAAATTCATAACTGCTTCAATGTGAATCATTGCATTTGAGCTCTCACTTCTTGTGTCTTGGTGTCAGATGTGTCCCAAGGCCTCCAAAGCTATCAGTCATTTTCTTGGGAAGGTCTAAAGGGAAACATGTTCTTTTGCAACTTCAGCAGGTTGAAAGAAGGGCCCAGTGGTGGTGTGTTACCACAGTGAGGTCTGACTTATAAGCAAGCAATAAAAATGTTTATCTTTCTACTTTTTAGAGGTTGAGAAAAGTGCTCAGGCAAACCCATGGCAGATCAAAGGCTGAATGATATGTTTCTCTCTTTCACATGGGTTAAAATCAAGAGACCTTGATTTCAAATGCAAGAAATAGCAAATGGAAGAAGAGTAAAAACAAAAACAATGGAAAGGAAATGAACCGATATTCATAGCTTACCACTGAGTTTTTCAAAGAGGCTGAAATAGTCTTCTAGGACAGGGGTTTAACAATGTGTCTAGGCATGAATTCTTAGAAATTTTAAGAAATATTTTTGTTCTTTGTACGAAAGCAGCAGATAAATTCATAAGGCTTTATGGTGTGATTTTCATGGAAAAATTCTTACTCCTTGAAAAGACTTTCTTTGCCTAGATAGACTAAGGGTGGAGTCACTAGATTTCTCTGGTTAGGGATGCGGAGACATGGTCAATCAAGCCAGACTTAATGTCCAACAGGAAAAGAATGACTGTCTTCTGTAGAAGCAGTGTGAACGCTGCTAGCTATTAGCATGAATGATTGAGGAGAATGATGGAGTCCCCTTTTCAGGATGTTACAAAAATCAAGACATTTTCATTGATCGATTTGTGTTTTAGACAACTTCAGGATGAGAGAGATTTGCATCTTCTCCCTCTTTTTTTTTTTTTTTTTGGTTATTTGAGCCAATGGTATGTCAGTTTTGTTTATTTTTTCAAAAACCAGTTCTTCATTTCACTGATCTTTTGTATTTTTTGTTTCAATTTTGTTTATTTCTTCTCTAATTTTAATTATTTCTTTCTTCCTACTAATTTTGGGTTTGGTTTGTTGTTGTTTTTCTAGCTCCTTGAGATGCATTGATAGCTCATTTATTTGATACCTTTCCAATTTCTTCATGTAGGCACTGATTGTTATTAACTTCCCTTAACACTAGTTTTGCTGTCTCCAATAATTTTTGATGTGCTCTATTGTCATCTTCATTTGTTTCCAGAAATTTTTTGATTTCTCTTTTGATTTCTTCTGTGACCCACTGTTCATTCAGGAGCATGTTGTTTAGTCTCCATGTATTTGCGTATGATCTGGAGATTCTTGAGTTGTTGAGTTCTAGCTTCATTACATTGTGGTCAGAGAAGATGCGTGGTAAAATTTCATTTTTTTTGAATTTCTTGAGACTTGCTTTATGGCCTAGCATATGGTCTATCATAGAGAAAGTTCCATGCACTGATGATAAGAATGCATATTATGCAACTGTGGGGTGAAAAGTTCTGTAGAAGTGAGGTCCATTTGATCCATAATGTTGATTAGCTCTGTTGTTTCTTTGTTGATTTTTTTTCCGGTTGATCTGTCCATTGATGATAGTGTGGCACTGAAGTTCCCCATTTCTATTGTATTCTTTTAAATAGCCAGGTGCCCAGTAATTAGGTGCATATACACTTATTGTCACATCTTCCTGTTGAGTTGATACCTTACTCATTACCTAGTGCCTTCTTTGTAGCTTTTAATGGCTTTTATGTTAAAATCAATTGTCTCATATTAGGATACATTTGCCTTTTTTTGCTTTTCATTAGCATGGAATTCCTTTTTCCATCCTTTCACTTTTGGTCTGCGTGTATCTTTGTTGGTGAGATGTGTTTCTTTTAGGCAACAAATAGATGGGGCTTTTTAAATTATTATTATTTGACAGGAAAAGTTATAGACAGTGAGAGAGAGAGACAGAGAGAAAGGTCTTTCTTCCGTTGGTTCACTCCCCAAATGGCCTCCACGGCCGGTGCTGCGCTGATCCAAAGCCAGGAACCAGGTGCTTCTTCCTGATCTCGATGGGGCTTGTTTTTTAATCCATTCAGCCAGTCTATATCTTTTAACTGGAGAGTTGAGGCCATTTACATTCAAGCTAACTATTGATAAGTAGTGACTTTTCCCTGCCATTTTTCCAAAAATATCCCTTTTTTTTTACTTTGAATTTCCTTTGAACTTTTCCTTGGAGATTTTCTTCCTTTACCCTCTTTTGTAGTGATGACCATGTTTCTTTGTTTCTGTGTGCAGCACATCCTTAAGCATCTTTTGTATGGCTGGATGGGTGGTGACGATTTCTGTTTATTATGGAAGGTCTTTATTTCACCTTCATTCATAAATGAGAGCTTTGTAGGGTATAGTATTATGGGTTGACAGTTTTTTTTTCTCTTAAGACTTAGAATGTATCTCACTGTTCTCTCCTAGTTTGTAGGGTTTCTGATGAGAAGTCTACTGTGAGTCTAATTGGAGATCCTCTGAAAGTAATCTGGTGTTTCTCTCAGGCACATTTTAGAATCTTTTCTGTGTATTTTACTGTGGTGAGTTTGATTACAATGTGTCATGGTGAAGATCATTCCTGATTGTATATATTAGGAGTTCTTTGTGGTTCAGGTGCCTCACTGTCCTATATGGTTGCCCTGCCACCTCCCAGCCAGACCCAGAGTCAGTGGGGACTACAGATTGTTTCCTCCTCTAGGAACTTTGGATCACACACGTACGTAAGAGCCGGTGGCTGAATATTGCTTTCTCCCCTCCACTGCTGCCAGTATGGCCAAGAAGATGGAAGCCTGTCTCAGCCAGTTGCTGTGCATGTGCACAAAGTCTTCTGCAGCTCCTGCCCAAACGCAAAATGGTGCCCACCCTTTTTTAGCTGGGCAGTGGGCACTGTTGTGTGGCAGTTGGGGCACAACAAACATGCCCCTTCTACTTCCACTGCATCTGTGGGCAACCACTAGCAACCACTAGTTCCCAGGGCTCCAGTCTAGACTCACACCATGCTCTCCCTCCGGCTATATCACCACAGGTTTCTGCATTCCAGTCTCACCTCCATCTTCAAGCTGCTGCCTGCTCAGGCTCTCAGCTGCTGCAGTTGTGTGGTATGTTCAAGTCTATGCTGTGTGTCCACACCCTACACACAGGCCCACAGTGTTCCTCTTTCTCTTGTAGAATTTCCAGTGTGGTTTTCTCTCCAATTCTCCCCTGAGAGTGCACTTCCTATACTTTTTTTTTTTTAATTGTTTATCCCTAGCTTAGCACGGTATGTCATTTTCTAATCTGCCGTCTTAGAATCCTTAAATTTTTCACTTTAAATAGTGGATATCAAAAAAGAGGAAGGGAGGGGCTGGTGCTGTCCAGCAGGTTAAAGCCTGGGCCTGCAGTGATGGCATCCCATATGGGCACCGGTTTGAGTCCCGGCTGCTCCATTTCCAATCAGCTCCCTGCTAATATGCCTGAGAAAAACAGCAGAGGATGGCCGAAGTCTTTGGGCCCCTGCACCTGGGAGTGTGGGAGACCCAAAAGAAGTTCCTGACTCCTGGCTTCAGATTCGCTCAGCTCTGGCCATTGTGGCCATTTGGGGAGTGAACCAGCAGATGGAGACCTCTGTCTCTCTCTGTCTGTCCCTCTCTTTCTAATTCTGTCTTTCAAATAAACAAATCTTTTATTTTTTTTAAAGAAGTAGGAATGGTAAACCTGGGGGATATAACTTACATGAGGAAAAAGAGAGGATCTCACTGGTCTCTTAATACCCATTTTGATTTTAAGAATCAATATATTTTCTGAAAATTCCACTGGATGATATTCCATTGGATTTCTACAAAGTATAATCAAATGAATCTAATAAAGATATTTATCACAGTCTTGGAATTTTTCAGATTTCCTGGACTAAAAAAGTGCTTCTGAAATTATTGTTCATGTGTTATCTCTGGGTCTTGGGATGATTTGTTTGTAACTCATATAGGACCAGGGCCACCTCTGGGATGCACAGAACCCTGGGGATTTTTTTGTTTGTTTGTTTGTTTGTGTAGTTTTGCTTCCAGGACCCTGTCTATTATAAAAAATTCAATTAAAATATAAAATTTACAGTCCCTATGAAGTATGGTCATTTATCAGTGAATATTTAGGATAATGGATAAAAAAGTGATATTGTTGTAGTTGTTTATTATCAGATCAGTGCATCTGAAGATTTTCCATGATATCTAGGCAGCACCACTTCCTATTTAGGTTCAGGAACCACTTCTCTGTGTTCTTTATGGTCAAATGTACCATGACTGGCTAACTTCCTATCTCCTACCATGGGAAAGAGGTGTGAAATATGGTAGTAGTCACAGTGCTGTAGCTCTTGGGAGCCTCTTCATATTGAATCAGTATAGATAGATCTTGTTGCCTCTTCAGCTCCCTACTAATAGTTTCTCTAGTGCTGGCCACCATTATACATTGTCCTCCAATGAGTCTCTCAAGGATTTTTACTGTTCTTCTTTGCTGATAACCAGGAATATACTTCTTACTTGTGTGCCAGGAATTGGAAACAATAACTCATTTTCTGGTCATGTTAAATTTCCTATTTGCAGCTTGATAGTGTAAATGCAGAATGACATGTTTTTAACTATGTCTTCTCTTAAGTGCTTTGGACTACAATAATTATGCCCTTCATGATATTTTTCAATGTTGATGATTAGAGTGAGTCCTACAGACCCATCAAGAAAAGCAGTACCATTACCATAAAAAGACCCATCTGGAAAAATGTAATTATCACTACATTGATCAGATGAAGGGACATTGATTATATGATTGCATTTAGAACAATACTGTCCAAAGACCTCAGAAATGGATAAAGCTACCTCTGACCATCTGACATGTGCAAAGAACCTGTGAAGATTGAGTGAGTACCCTAGGACCAACAATGAGGGTGGAGGTCACATGGGATGAAGGGCACTTGCTACTACCCCACACTACCTTGGAGTTCTATAGATTGGAGGTAGTACTGTCGTGGGAATACTGGCAGGCTCAAGCTCAAGGTGGGCAGTGAACCCAGACCTCTGAATGTCCAGTGTTAGTGGCTCATTCAAAATTAGCATATCAGCACCACTCCAGCAGTCCAGGGAGATCCTGCAAAAAAGTACCATGCTGGCCATTGAGGTGACCTGTTCAGGCCACCCTCTTGGACTAGACTTGACCATAAGCCCCAGACAACCGTAAACATATGAGAGCCAGGGTTCCTTGGGGAATCTGGTCAACCTCACGGTGGAGTAGACAGTTGGAAAGTGCCCTGAGAAGGAGAGATGGAGATAGAATCCATGAAATACCTGATATAGAATGGGAACATTTGATCTGGCATCATTGGCCCTGGTAATTTCCAGGCAACTAAGGAAGACTTAGAAAAATTTACACAAGACCACCAAAGCACAATTTCCTTGAAGTGTGGATGGGGCACGGGCCACAGGCCTAGGCCTAAGAGTGGTGCTGTGTAGAGTGTCACTTTGTAGATTTGGAAGCACGGGAGGACCAGGTATAGACAGCCATACTGTTGGCTTAGAGCAGGAAATACTTGAGCCCTTCTCTTTTTGATGGTTGTCAGAGTGAAACGGTACGGCTTTCCAAAAAACAGCATCTAAGTGTGATTTGTTAAGGAGTATATGTGCATATATTCCTCTGATGCATATATTTGTACACAAATATTTATGTATAATTAATGTTGATAATGTAGATGTGTATGAATATAATGCATATAAAATAAATATATAATTTATTTTCTATATTTATAACTGTACATATAAATATATATATATTTACCTTTCATACCTGTATGTCTTCCATTTGGTAGAGACATGTGGCTTCCTTCATTCAATTTTTTTCATTCATGCAATTTACGTATTATAAAGCAATAATTTTCATATTTTTGATCTAAGAAATCATTTCAATATGTGAAATGATGACATTAATCTTCATTTCTTCATAAGAGAACTGGATAGGTGTATTATACTGTATTATATTTCTCTTGGAAATCTTAGTTTATAGTTGATACTTTTGTGTAATTTGTAATGTTTCTTTTTGATTTGATCCTGCTCTTCTGTCTTGTCTGAGTTTTCCTTTCAGAATATAGAACTTCTTATTATATCTTCAAGAGAATACTTGATAAAGAAAAATCATTGAGCAAATATAGGAAATGAAAACTCTAATGGATATTATGTAAGAACAGAGTTGTTGCTTTACCAGTGAAATATTCTTTCCTGTAAACAAAATGAGGAACCAGACTAGGAAGCACTAAGATACTTAAATATGCTAGGTCTTGGAAATTTTAAGTAGAAGAAGAGCACACATCACTGCATGTGTTTAAGGGGTATAGCTTTCTCGATCTCTACATTCTTTGGAATTTTGAGAAGTATCACCAAGGATATAGGATTTGACCTCTGAAGTCAGTGATAACAGCAAGAGGCAACCGGAGTTGCCTTGTGGGTATGGTAGCTGTATCTCAAGTATGAAAAGGGAGAGGATGCAAGGTCAGAGTGGCCTTGTGGTGAGGCAATAGTAAGGACTTGTCTTAAAGGCAGGGTAGTGAAGTAGTGGACATGATGGTGCTGACCAGATGACCCTCTGCAGTAGACATATATTCCCCAGTAGCAGAGAGCATTGATGGATCTCAACTGAGCCCCTCTCTAAGAACACTCTTACAAAATCCAAAGGTTTTTTGCTATCCTTGGAGGAAGCCCACCTCCAGTTACTGGTCCATGAATGGAGTTCACAGTCTCTTCGCCTAACTTATGACAACCTTGAAGGGTCATCCCAGCTCCAAAACCTCACATGGTTTCATCAGAGTCCTCGGTTGTTGATACTTCAGGATTCAACATCTCCTTTTTCCCTACTTTTCCCACTCCATCATGGGTACTCCTGAGAGTATTCCCCATTAAACCTTCTGCACAGAAATCTCAGTGTCTCCGTGTTTGTTTCCAGCATACGTGATTCAAGGTAGTGTCATTTTCCAGCAAGAGGGTAACTTTGGTAAATAGTGATATGTTTAGTTTGACTAGGGCGTTAGATTGAATGTAAGGACAAAGTGAGACAGAAGTTTGGAAATGTTTTACTGTGGTAGACAAAAAAGCAGGGTTGAGAGATTAGGTGTTGGCAATTTCAAATATGGGAGAAATAAGATTGGGGAAGCCATATGGTCAGTTTAGGCCAAACTATCAAAACTTCCTTTCTGATGTCTCAGTGGTTATATTACAATAATAAAATTAACTAAAAGAAGTGGGTTTATAATGTGCTGTTGTTTGGGACTGGCTTTGTGGCATAACAGGTTAAGCCTTCACCTGAGATGCTGGCATCCCATATGGGCACTGGTTCAAGACAAGGCTGTTCCACTTGCAATCCATCTCCCTGCTAGTGCACCTGGGAAAGCAGTGGAAGATGGCCCAAGTGCTTGGGCCCCTGCACCCAAGCGGGAGACCTGGAAAAAGCTCTGGGGTCCTGGCTTTGACCTGGCTCAGCCCTAGCTGTTGCGGCCATTTGGGGAGTGAACCAGCATACGGAAGATCATTCTCTCTCTCCTGTCTGTCTGTCTGTCTGTCTCTCTCTCCCTCCCTCCCTCCCTCCCTCCCTCTCCCTTTCTCCCTCCTTCCCTCTCTCCCTCCCTCCCTCCCTCCTTTCCTCTCCCTCTCTGCCACCCTCCAACTCTGCCTTTCAAGTAAATACAAAATAAATCTTTTTAAAAAGTGCTATCATTTTTAGATACAAATCCCATTATCAGTGGGTCATGCCTTTTGGATTTTTATTCAAGAAGTAGGGATGAATCTGGCATATTTTCCCCCTAAACTATCTCCACATACCTTTGCAGATAGCTATACAGGTTAATGCCCTTCCCTTCACAATACTCCATATTTTAGAAAAATCTACTATGTAACAGAGATTGTGATTTCTTGGCCTATACCCTGGAAAAGCAGTGCTATTTTCCAATTTTAGAGATGGAGAAACTGAGGCTTGTACAGGATAAGGAACTTGCTTAGTGAGAAAGGGGTACAAATGGGATTCAATCCCAGATTTCTTTAACTTGGAAGCTCCTGCTGTGCAAGTCAGATGAGGAGGACCCAAGGAGCCCATGATCTGGGCCTCGTGCTAAGAGGCTCTGACTCACCAGGCCTAAGTGGTGACCAAGACATGTGCTTGTTAACCCTCACAAGTCATCTGTTCAACAGTTAGATTTCCAACAGCTTAGCAATTGACCTGAATGAGTATATGAGTTTCAATATCAACAGTAATCATAAAACACTTACACTTTTGTAATTTGAATGTTATCTTTTTTAAATATTTATTTATTTATTTGAAAGTCAGAGTTATACAGAGAGAGAAAGAGAGGCAGAGAGAGAGATAGAGGTCTTCCATCTGCTGGTTCACTCCTCAGTTGGCTGCAATGGCCGGAGCTTCACTGATCCGAAGCCAGGAGCCAGGAGCCTTCTCCAGGTCTCCCATGTGGGTGGAGGGGCCCAAGGACTTGGGCCATCTTCTGCTTTCCCAGGCCACAGCAGAGAGCTGGATCAGAAGAGGAGCAGCTGGGTCTCAAATGGGTGCCCATATGGGATGCTGGCACTGCAGGCAGCAGCTTTACCTGCTACACCACAGCGCCAGCCCCTGCATGTAGTATTGTTGTAGGAGGTTCACAACAGTGTATGTATGGTAAATAGGACAGAACATTATCCCTATTCTACATCTGAAGGAGACTCAAAGAAGTTTTGTGTTCATATTTACTTTCCTGCAAAGAGCCAGGACCAAGTCTTGAATTCGAGTGTTCTCTCATGTTCCAAATAGCTTCTGTCAAGCCACTTGAACATTTGAAGGAACGTGAAGATCTTAGGAGCTCTAGTATCTTTTTTTTCTTTATTTGACTTTGGTTGAACCAAAATGCTCTGTAAATACATTGCAATTGTGAAAGATTCATCAACCAAGAAATAAAAATGGCACATTTTAAGTGATTAAAAATGAGGTTGACTCTACTGTAACTTGCTGGGTAGACACTGGTGCTCTGGCACCCTCATAATTGAATATAATTATCTCTAATTATCATTCCATTCTGGCGGATGCTTTCTACTTCCATCAAAACTTGATCTTTTCCCTCATGTCACCTGGAGAGCTCGTTTTGTAAGCTCCCTAGGATTGTCATTTAGAGTGGGTTGCTGTGTCTCACCAGCAGAGCTGTACAGGTTATTGAAGCAAGCACCTTCTTTTCTATACTTGTTTATTCTGTGCTGCTGTTTATGGGGAACTTTGTCCTTTGGTTAGTTTTTAGGGTTTTAATTTTTTTTTCTGTCTTCTTGATAACATCTCATCAAAACAATGATTTTTAAGCACTCACTTTGTATTGGGTTCTTAACTTTGCAGTATACTTGGTATTTGTTAGCCTTACAGTCCAGAAAAGAAAAGACTCAGTGGGGACTAGCCTACTATGAGTAGAGTTGGATATGTTGGGAGTAGCCTGAGACCCAGGTTGGGATTAGGGTAGGAAAAAGAGGAAGAGACAGAAATGGACTTTGTGAGAAAAATACTTCCTTTAGCCTCCGTCAAGCATCAGAACTTCTCTGTTAAGAGAAACTTCCCCTTTTTGGCAAACTCCATGAAAGTTAATTATATGTAAAGGAAAAATGACCTCACACATTATTCTGCTTTCCATGAAGTAAAAAAAAAAAAAAGTGCTGTGGAACATTTACAGGGAAATTTATTTGATTTCTCTTTTTATCTTGCTCTATGATTTTCAATATTACTCAACACTTAGGCCATCACTAGTGTGTGTTCTTATTTTTCTCATTTGTATTTCCCAGCCACTTTATTTAGCACTTGCTAAATATAATGGCCCTTCACCATGAGTCTGATTTTAAACTGCTGAAGGATGAGACAGGAAGTATTGACATAATTTCCCTGGATTCACACAGCAAGTTAATGACAGGGGCCAAGGCAGGATAAGAACTCAGACCAGCCCTTTTCCTAACTCTGCTGTCAGTGACAATTAGTAGGAGATGGCTATCAGAGTTTAAAAAGTCAGTTCTATAGAACAGGGGTAGGCAAACCACAGCCAAACCCGATCTTCCTATTTTTTATGGCCCTAGTGAAGAATGGTTTTTTCATTTCCATAACATTTTTTAAAAAATTGGATTAATAGTTTTATGACACATGGAAAATTATATAGATTCTACTTTCGGTATCTACAAGTGCAATTGCATTGGAACATAGCCACACTCGTTGAGATGTTGTCTTTGTATCACACTACAGTCAAAACATGGAGTGGCTGCAACAGAAACTCAGAAAGTCCAAAATAATTTGATTTGGAAATTTTTATGTCCTGCAAAGCCTAAAATATTTCCTCTAGGATCCTTTATAGACAATGTTTACAGACCTGTGACATAGAGGATTCTGAGAGATGGATCTTGGGATAAGCATTAGCCCAGTATCTGTCAGTGGCAGGGAGGCAGAAAAGGAGGGCAGTGGATGACAGTTCAGGAGGAGTGTAGTTTTTCTTAGAGTGGGTTTTATATGATTCCCTAAGTATATAAAAAGATTTACCCTTCCTTTAAATTTTTTTTCTGAATTTTTCAGTAACAGAAACAGAGAATGAAGATTAGAGAAATTTGTTGATTTCCTGAAAGCCACACAGTTTGTAAGTAGTCTACCTAGGACTTAAACCCAGATCTTCTTTTTCAAGCATCCCTTGCTTCTGCAAGCCCAAGTGACAAGAGAGAAGCCACGCTTGCTGGCAGGAAGCTCTGTGCTGATAGAAAAAGGAGGGGACCTTGCAGGGCTATGCCCCCTGGCTCTACCTTAGCACTCCCTGAATGCACCACTCCTGTATTCATAGCATGTTCTGCCTTAAAACACAAGCCCCCTGGATTCACATCTTATCTCAGCAGCTGGAGTATGAGTCCTTAGAGTAGAGTTGTCAGATTTAGCAAATTTGAATTTGAGACACTCAGTTAAATTTAAATTTCAGATAAACACACATAATTTTTTAGTATATATATTCTCCATGCAGTAGTTGAATCTATTTTGAGTGAGACATACTTTAAAAAGCTTGATTAAAAAGTATTTGTTGCTCATCTGAAATTAAAAAAATTTAAAGACTATTTAAGAGTAGTTTTATGTTCACAAAATTTGAGAGGAAGGGGCAAGTGTTTCTCATGTACCCCCTCCCCCAGGCCCCATACATGCATAGACTGTCCCACTAACAACATCCCCCACCAGATGGTACATTTGTTATAATTGACAAGACTGAATTGACCTATGGTGGTCACCCCAAATCAATAGCTTACATTAGGGTTCATCCTTGGTGTTATCCATCCTCTGAATTTGAATAAATGTATAATGACATGTGTCCACTGTTGTAGTATTACACAGAGTATTTCACTGCCCTAAATGTCCCCTGTTCTTCACTTAATTAATCCTTTCCCACCCCCAGGCCCTGGAAACCAATGATCTTCACATGGTTTTCGATTTTCCAGAATGTCATTTAGTTAGACTAGATAATATGCAGCCTTTTTTGGATGGTTTCTTTTACTTGATAATGTGCATTTAAATTTCTTTCATGTCTTTTCATGACTTTATAGCTTACTTCTCTTTAGTCCTGAATAGTATTCCATTGTCTGGATGTACCATAGATCATTTATTTATTTGCCTTCTTTAGTGGAAGAAGGAAACTTGGTTGTTTCGAGATTTTGCCAGTTATCAGTAAAGCTCCTAAAAACAACCCTGTATACACACTAAGGAGTAGGATTCATCGCTGGATCATATGGTAAGAGTATGCTTAGTTTTGTAAGAAACTGACAGTCCTCCAAAGCAGTTATACCATTTTGCATTTCCACCATCAGTGAAAGAGAATTTTTTAAAAAATATTTTATTTATTTATTTGAGAGGTATAGTTACAGACGGTGAGAGGGAGAGACAGAGAGAGGTCTTCCATCCGTTGGTTCACTCCCTAGTTGGCCACAATGGCTGGAGCTGCGCCGATCCAAAGCCAGGAGCCAGGTGCTTCTTCTGGGTCTCCCATGTGGGTGCAGGGGCCCAAGGATTTGGGCCATCTTCTACTGCTTTCCCAGGCCATAGCAGAGAGTTGGATTGGAAGAGGAGCCGCCGGGATTAGAACCGGCACCCATATGGGATGCTGGTGCTGCGGGCAGAGGATTAACCTACTGTGACACAGCGCCAGCCCCTGAAAGAGAATTTGTGTTATGCCATATCATTGTCTGCATTTGGTGTTGTCAATGTTTTGAATTTTGGCCATTCTATTGAGTATGTTGTCATATTTCATTATTTAACTTTCATTTTTCTGATGACATATGATATAAAAATTTTCATATGCTTATTTGAAATCTGCATTTAACTGTGCATTCTCCATTTTGTAGGTTAATCTTGCCTTTAGGGGCAGGGATTGGGTACATTATTTACCCTTTATTTATCTGCCTCTTTCTTCCCACATCACTCCCACTCCCACACCCAGTCCCAAGATGCCCAACACAGTGTTTTTCAAAGAAACTTATATATTAAAATTCAATGAGAACTAACCTCTTCCAGCTAAGCACTAGCTCCTTAACAGCTGAGAAACAGACATGTAAATAAATTTATTTCCCTATATTGATGCCTGTTACCATAGCAGGATGGGTCAAGAGGTTTCAGGGAGTGAGCCCTTTAGTCTATGTGGCAGGACTCAGAAAGGCCTCCCAGAGGATGTGATAACTAGACAGGTTTTGAAGTAAGAGAAGCAATTTATCAAACTGAGTCAGGAAAGGGAAATCATGGAGTGGGAACAGCATATTCGAAGTCATAACTGCAGAAAAGGGTACAGTGTGCCCAGGAGTGGTGGGATGAGCTTGGTGATTGGTACACAGGTATTTGGGACATGGTAGGCACTTAATAAATCATGGTTTAAAATCAGTCTCAAAAGTTAAATTCTATAGCTCATAGAAGTAGCCCTGGAGCCAGCATCGTGGCTCACTAGGCTAATCCTCCGCCTTGCGGCGCCGGCACACCGGGTTCTAGTCCCGGTCGGGGCACCGGATTCTGTCCCAGTTGCCCCTCTTCCACGCCAGCTCTCTGCTGTGGCCCAGGAGTGCAGTGGAGGATGGCCCAAGTGCTTGGGCCCTGCACCCCATGGGAGACCAGGAGAAGCACCTGGCTCCCGCCTTCAGATCAGCGCGGTGCTCTGGCAGCAGCGTGCCGGCTGCGTCGGCTATTGGAGGGTGAAGCAACGGCAAAGGAAGACTTTTCTCTCTGTCTCTCTCTCTCTCACTGTCCACTCTGCCTGTCAAAAAAAAAAAAAAAAAAGTAGCCCTGGAATTAAGATTACCCTTGATCTTTGTTCATAATACTGAGATTCTTTTTTTTAAGATTTTTGTGTATTTATTTGAAAGGCAGAGCTACAGAGAGGCAGAGGCAGATAGAGAAAGAGGTCTTCCATCTACTGGTTCTCTCCCCAAATGGCCACAATGGCCAGATCTGGGTCAATCCAAAGCTAGGAGCCAGGAGCTTCTTCTGGGTCTCCCACATGGGTTCAGGCACCTTTTTCTACTGCTTTCCCAGTACACAGCAGAGAGCTGGATTGTAAGCAGAGCAGCCTGGTCTTGAATCAGTGCTCATATGGGATGCTGACACTGCAGGTGGGGGCTTTACCCACTGTGCCACAGCACTGGCCCCAATACTGAGATTCTAAATGCCAGTTCCTGGGTTACTAACCTAGCAATCTTTATAATCAAGCACAAGTTCTTGATAAGTGCCTGTTTGCTTTGGGCTAACTTCATGATATTGTTGCTACATCCTTGGCCATGGCACAAAGAAAATCCCAGAATAAAATTCAATATTGAGTTACTTTATTTGAACTGGTGCTGGGAGAGACACATGTCCTGCCTGGGCCTGGGGTGGGGCATTTCTTCTACCTTGAGGATATAACTTTTTTTTTTAATTTTTTTTTTTGATAGGCAGAGTTAGACAGTGAGAGAGAGAAAGAGAAAGGTCTTCTTTTCCGTTGGTTCACCCCTTAAATGGTCACTACGGCTGGCGCGCTGCGCCGATCTGAAGCCAGGAGCCAGGCTCCTGGTCTCCCATGCAGGTGCAGGGCCCAAGCACTTGGGCCATCCTCCACTGCCCTCCCAGGCCACAGCAGAGAGCTGGACTGGAAGAGGAGCAACTGGGACAGAATCTGGCGCCCCAACCGGGAATCGAACCCCGGGGTGCTGGCACCGCAGGTGGAGGATTAGCCAAGTGAGCCGCGGTGCCAGCCATGGATATAACTGGTTTTAAGTGCTTGTCTGATTCAGAGAAGTCCTGCATTAGTCAACCTTATCCCCCTTGACTTAACTTTATGCATATGGCTGTCCTTGGTCTTTTCCCCAATAGCACATAAATAATGTGCATAATATCATTTGTTTGCACCCCAGGCAACTTCCCTGTATGGACTGCATCAGTGGATGACCTTCCCCTCACCTTGGAAGGTAGGAGCTGTGTGAAGTCACTTTCTCCCTGTTGGGTCACTGTAAACTGACTGCCACTACAGATACCACAGCTTCCATCCGCTGCCTTTTCCATAGAGCTGCCCTCTCTGGTTTCAGCAAGTGTTCTCTCCCTTGCTCCTTCCCTACTACATAGACTTTAGGTAGTAATGGTTTATTGTTGGTTTTCCTGAATACTGTGTTGGTTGGCTTTCTTTCTTTTTATTTTTTATTTTTTTGACAGGCAGAGTGGACAGTGAGAGAGAGAGACAGAGAGAAAGGTCTTCCTTTGCCGTTGGTTCACCCTCCAATGGCCGTCACGGCCGGCGCGCTGCGGCCCCATGCACCGCGCTGATCCGATGGCAGGAGCCAGATGCTTCTCCTGGTCTCCCATGGGGTGCAGGGCCCAAGCACTTGGGCCATCCTCCACTGCACTCCCTGGCCACAGCAGAGAGCTGGCCTGGAAGAGGAGCAACCGGGACAGAATCCGGCGCCCCAACCCGGACTAGAACCCAGTGTGCTGGCGCTGCAAGGCGGAGGATTAGCCTAGGGGTTGGCTTTCTTAAATGCTGTTCACACCTCAACAAACAGTTTATTCATCTCCTATCCTCAATTACCCAATTTGAGAGTGTTGCTTGTTTCTTGATGGAACCATGGGTGATACATATGTGACAAGTATTGCACCTATCATTTGTTTGCTCATTAACTCATATTCACAGTATAAAGGTAGAGAAAAGGACCTTTAATACTTTGCTTTTCATACCTTAAGACCAACATTATGTACGGGAATGTACTGGTTTTGAAAATAAATTGTAATTTCTGCTTAATGTCTCTGGGGAGTCAGGTGCAAAACATAAAAGCAAATGAATTATTCAGTAGAACTGCTGTTTCTTTTACAGGCACAGATCTAATGGTACAAAGCATGAGCTTTGATGTAAGAAAGATCTAGCCTTGTATCCAAGCTCTTTTAATTACTACCTTGTGGTTAGAAGATGAGTTACTGTACTTCTTTGGGTCTTATCTGTAATATGAGCATGATAATTCCTCCCTCACAGGTTGGGGGTGATGATTAATGAGATGCTTATAAAGCACTTAACTTGCTGCCTGGTACGTTAATAGGATTATTGAAATGCCTAAGTGATGCTTACCAGATACATCAATTTTTTAAAGATATATTTATTTACTTTAAAGACAGAGTTGCAGAGAGGCAGAGAGAGAGAGGTCTTCCATCTGCTGATTCACTCCCCAGATGGCCACAATGGTTGGAGCTGTGCCAGTCCAAAGCCAGGAGGCAGGAGCTTCCTCCAGGTCTCCCTTGTAGGTGCTGGGGCCCAAGGACTTGGGCCATCTCCTATTGCTTTCCCAGGCCATAGCAGAAAGCTGGATTGGAGTGGAGCAGCCAGGACTCAAACTAGTGCCCATATGGGATGGTGGCACTGCAGGCAGTGGCCTCACCCACTATGCCACAGCGCCTGCCCCTAGATACATCATTTTCATTGTATCCAAGAATTAGCCTTGAGATCCATGGCAGCACCTTTCAATTAATTCTAATTGAATGGCATAGATTTTGAGAGTAAACATACAAGTAACAAGTCATTTTGTAAGATCACCAATGCCATTTGTTCATGTGAACCTGAAAACCATCAGGACAATAAAATCAGAACTATCAAGCCATTCTATTCATGCTCCCACATGATACAAAGGTATCATCACATGGACATACTTAAAGGGAATTTTTTTTGAAAAATTTATTTTTCACCAGATCATATGGATAATGACCTTCATTCTTTGTTTTGTCCTGGTACATGTAGATACGAATAGGAGTTTTCCATGGCTCTCACGTTTCCAGAATCCATGCAAGCACTGGTTCTGCTGAGCCACAACATTGCAGTCAGGTCCAACTCATTGATTGGAACTGACATGTGAGATAAGAATATACTTACTACTCTGGATTTAGACACACTCTTTTAAGGAGTGCATGGATAGTCTGGGAAAAGAGAAAAAGAAAACAGGTTATTTAATAGAAAAGTAAATATATGTAGTTATATAAGTTTCTGGCTAGAGAGGGCTTCAAAAAAGGTTTTGTTTTTCAGAAATTAGAGTAACTTGATTGTCTACTCATGGAACAAATCTGCTATGTTTCATTCTTCTCTACCCAGTCCTGTGCCCTATCACTGGGCTTCCTTGCTGTTGGCTTCCTGTTGGAATTGGCCACTTGGAGGCACCAGCAGGTCTGACAAGCAGCTTAGAGTGAAGTTGGGGGTATTTATTCCTTTTGTTTCTTTCCTGTGGGGACAATGTGGACTATCTGGGTCCTAGTACTGTGAGTCATAGCTCCTGCCTCTTGGCAGGGACTTTCTCCTCAAAACTCTCTCCTTGGAAACAGCTCCTTCCTTTGGCCTCTTCAGGCCTGGAGATAGTAAGGGGAGTACCACTGTTGCTAGATCCAAGTGCTTCATTTCTTCCTTGTGGTTGCCCCACGCCCTGAACACTTCTCTGAAAAAGAGTCCCTTTATCATAAGCTCTCCTCATATTACACAATTTGAGTGCACCATTGTTTACTGCTGGGTCCTGTTTGATGTATCATGAAATAGTATCTGGATGCCCTCTGGGCCTTTCTTCCTAGAGGCAGTTGCTTCAGGGACAATTTAGGACATTGCTTTTTAAAGCAGTTGTTTAATCTCATTGCTTTACCAGACACTAACCCAGACCCCTCCAGTATGAGTCATTCTATTTGTGTGGGTGGGGTTAGTAAACTCCCCAAAGTGTAAGAAAGATTGTCTTGATAATGGTGACAGAGAATTTTCTCAAAAGTCCAAGTGCATAGCCCCAAATAAAATAAACAACCAAAAAAAAAAAAAAGTCTGCATTTAGATGCCTTGGACAGTGACCCACAGCTCAGCCCATCCTTTCTGGGTAGGATGTGGTCAGAATACTATACACGGTTAAGAAATTTCCCTTCTGAGCCTCTTCATCCTGTAGGTTGGTATGAATGTCATCCATTCCAAGTGATATCTGGATGTCAAGAGGTTGTGTATGTAGAATTAGTAGAAGAGTTTTGCAAAAATCAAGATGATACATTTATTTTCTTCTATTCCAAAGATTGTCAAACATGGCCCTTGGAAAGACTTGCTTCTTTCATTTCAGGCATAAGCAGAGAAGGACTGGCTTTCTATGGTGTGCAATGATAGGGGGTGACCTACCTGAATGGTTGCCTATCATCTGATGTAACACTTGAAAAAGTGCTAAAAGCCCCTCCTCTCCCAGACCAGAAGTAACTTTCTCCCAGGAAGTTCTGTCACAATTCCAGAAATTTCCATTATTAGCATATGACTTTAACAATATTATGGAAATCCTTGGTAGGATTAAGTATATATGGCTTAATTTGTTACCACTTAGTATTTATGTGTGGGAAGAATGGGAAATTGGAGTCTTGATTGGGAAAGAGGTAAGCAAAGATGTGAGATGCATAGAATCACTCAGGAATGGCAGCAGAGTAGAGTAGTTAGGTGACCATAGAAAGCACTGGATGCCTGGGTATGCGTGAGTGTGATTAACACTGTTATCAAAGATGAACTTTGGCTGGCACCGTGGCTCACTTGGCTAATCCTCCACCTGCGGTGCTGGCACCCTGGGTTCTAGTCCCGGTTGGGGCGCCGGATTCTGTCCCGGTTGTTCCTCTTCCAGTCCAGCTCTCTGCTGTGGCCAGGGAGTGCAGTGGAAGATGGCCCAAGTGCTTGGGCCCTGCACCCTCATGAGAGACCAGGAGGAAGCACCTGGCTCCTGACTTCGGATCAATGCAGTGCACTGGCCATAGCTGCCATTTGGAGGGTGAACCAACGGAAAGGAAGACCTCTCTCTCTGTCTCTCTGTCTCTCAATGTCTAACTCTGTCTGTCAAAAAAAAAAAAAAAAGAGTTAACACATATATTTCCTTTCCTGCTTCATCTATAATGTGGCTGAGAGCTGTCAAAGACAGGAGATTGACAGAGGACACCTAATGGTGCATCTGATTTTGAAGAACTAAACTTAGTAAACTCCAGTCTCAACGAATGAGAATGACATTGTTGATTAGCAATGGGCTTCTGGACTTGAGATTGGAGATGAGAGAGGTGGCTTAGTGCTACCTATTTACTGGTGTATCAAGAGCCTTTGTTTTTTCTTTAGTTCATGATCAAAAGTAATTTCTGGTTGTTTAGGGGTCCCACAGAGCACTCACAAATCTCTAGTACTATCTTCCTTGGAGTTTACTGTCACTGGATCAGTTCACAAGGAGTAAATGTGTGAAACATCATTTCTTCCTTTGCTTTTGTCTATTATTTGGCAAGATGATTAGTGGATGGTTTGAGAATCTAGGCTTAGATCTAATTGGCCTAGAGCCTTGGTCCTTAAAATGAGTGGCTGATGAGGAGCACATCTTCATACGCTTGTTTTCTCATCCTTATTTTTGCCCCTCTCTTTTTATCACATTCTCCCATCTCACCTACCAGTAGAACCTGAGGATGTCTATCCTAAATAGGACCACTTCTCACCACCCAGACCACAAGCCATTGGGTCCAACTACCTTCTATCTCTTATCTGATCTGTGATGATATATTCCTATGTGGTCTCACTGCCAAAAAATGTAAATCAGGAGTTGGGCATTTGGTCCTGCATATCTCATATCAGAGTGCCTAGTTTGAGTCCTGGCTCTACCTCCAATTCCAGCTTCCTACTTCTGTGCATCCTGGGAGGCAACAGGTGATAGCTCAATTACAGGGATCCCTGCCACCCACATAGGAGACCTAGATTGCGTTCCTAGTTCCTGGCTTTGGCCTGGCTCAGCCCTGGCTGTTGTGAGCATTTGAGGAGTAACCAGTAGTTGGAAGATCTCTATCTCTGTTTCTCTTCCTTTCAAATTAAAAGTGAAAATAGAGGCCAGCATGGTGGTATAGTGGATAAAGCAGCTGCCTGTGATGCTGGCTATTCCATATGGGTACCAGTTGCATTCCAGCTGCTCCACTT